GGGGGGGTGCACACCCGACCGCATATTACAAGCGATCGGGCACGCTTGTATGTAAACAGCCATCGCTGGCTGTTTACATTCAAAGCCGGTTTCCCCACCCGCCCTCAAGAAGCCGCTGTCCGTCCGTTTAATTACAACGGCCGGACAGCAGGTAGTTAAACATTAAAAATAGAACCCAAAAAAAATAACAAAACAAATTGTACAATGAAAGCTACCCGTTCTCCAGCACCCCTGTATATAACATCCAGGGGGTCCAGGTCAATTCAAAGCATTTTTCAGTATCTTGAAGGATGCTGTGAAGTTTCTCATGGACTATAATCCATGACATTTTTTGTTTGACCAAGTGGAATGGAATTGTTGGCAATTTCCAAGCCCTAGCTATGGTTATTTTGGCTGCCAACAGAAAGAAAGTAATTCATTTATCCAAAGCTTTAGACAGTCCTGGAATTGGGCAATTCAGCAACACATATTGGGGATCTCGTGGAATCCTCACCCCAGTAACCCTAAATATTAGGGCATAAAGCTGGTTCCAAAAAGGTCTCAATCTAGGGCATTCCCACCATATGTGATACATTGTGCCCGGGTGAGCACATCCCCAGAAACAATGAGGAGAAACGTCTGGGTATATTCTCGCTAGTCTGGTAGGAACCATATATTACCTAGATCAGTGGTCCTCAACCTGTGTAGCCTCAGGCCCCTCATTTGTCCATGGTCATTAAATCGCGACCCATGTCGAACCGCACTGCAATGGAACGCACGGCATTGCAATACCACGCGTTACGGTGCAGGTGATTGACCTGTGGGCGGGAGGTGCGTTTGGGGTGCCATCTAAATGAATGACAACGCAATGCACCTCCCACACCCTAGTAGGTGCGATTGCATGGTACAGTGTGTTAATCGCACAGGACCATTCGATTATTACACTGTACTAGTGTGTGGTTGTTTGTCAGTGTTTTTGAGGTCCCTTTCAGACACAATCTTACACACACACAAACACGCCAAAAAAATATTTTTTTTATTTAAAATCCATCCAGTCTCCCTAGCTAACGAGAACTGGAGGGGATCCTCAGCCTGGGGTCCAGTGTGGGCTGCTGTGCTGTGACAGAGCTCCATCCATGTGTGCATTGCAATCCCCTTGCCCGCCCTGTAGAGATGCCCGGAGACAGAACATGACGTCACTCCAGTCCAGGTACCTCTACAGGATATGCGAGAAAGCTGTAATCAATGCATGTAAGGATGGCGCTCCCTTGCACCCATAGCTCCAGCCCACCCCACCTTAAGCTGACTCTCGGCGCCGAGCAGCATATGAATGGCTGCTTTGCACAAGAACGGACAGTGCTACGCTAAGTGGAGGCTGAGAAGCCTCCCACCTAGAAATGTGGAAGGGACGCGGCGACCCACTGAACATGGTGTCGCGACCCACTTTTGGGTCACGACCCACCAGTTGAGAACCAAGGACCTATATAACACCTTATAATTAGCTTCTATTAGTGAAATTTTGAGTAAACCAGAGGACACATGGGAACAACATTGATGCCAGACATCCAGTGGAATAACCATTTCCAGGTCCTGTTCCCAGGCTAGCATATAGGGTATTTACTTTCCGAGTCTACCAGGACGGAATAGATCAGCATGACACCCCCCCCCCTCCC